GCATAATCCGTAATCGGCCCGTGGGCATTACGGGAGAATAATGCCCTACAATTCAGTGACAATTAACCAATCAGAGCGCGCGTTATATCGACCACAAGCCAAAGCCATATAATAATGATCATTATTATCCCGCAAACGACAAAAAGAATATCCATGTTAAGCGCGTGTGCTAAACAAACGTTTTCCACATAACATGATTTCCATTGACTAGTTTTGATGCAAGAAATGCTTACCTGCACTTGAGACTTGGCAAATAACTGGCCTAGATATTACACTAGCAGCTCCTGGAAAAGGTTAGTTTGATTTTCATGATGAGTGCAGAAATCGGTCCAGAAACGACAACCTACTCTCAACGCGCAACGAAATGTGTCCGCCATTACTCCGGCTAAGACGACATATGATTCGTAGAGTACTGTCATGTGAACCGTGTGCACGTGTAGTCCGCGGGAAGATCACATATCCACGCGAGAGCCGTTGCTCCATATTGGGAAGTTAAATTTGATTGGTTCGGAATAATGGGCAGCATTGAACCAGGGTTAAACGCTTCAAGGTGACATGCTTCTCGTGGATTTGTTGTCACGGTCTTCGGCACATTATCAGCGAGTGTTATCAATAATTGATTATTCAATACTTTGCTGTATTGATTTTAAACCTGTCAACGGACTGTTCCCGGTTTCAATGGAGAAATATTCAAGTTGAATTTGCAGTGTTTTTACTTTGCGCAACCGTTCAAGCGACAACTCGGCGTGATGGACCAGATCAGAAGTCCGATCAAAATACTTGACCAATCAGAGGCATCATTTAACAACAGCGCGATTTCAAAACAAAAACGAAAGACCCCGTTAGATCAATTGCGAAAATGAGCCTTCAAATGATGATTACCTGCTTCACAAACCGCCTCTGCGATGTCGGACCCCACTGCGAGAAAGCAAACGAAAAGTTGACGTTAGTATCGAATGATGCCTAGAACAATTAAAGCTGCCTAGAATCAGCGAAAGAAAAATACAGTGTACCTCGTGATTCTGGTTAAATCTTTGGACAATTCAATTTACTGATTTTAATTTCCTTGGTATCGCCATTTCCATTTGAGATTTAATACTAAAAAATACAATTAAGAACCTACAAGACAGCTGTGAATTGTTCGATCTTACCTAACGACTACTGAACACAGTTTTAACTCTAGTCGGCAACAAGTAAAAAAGCAGATCACCAAAAGTAGATCTCAAGTAAACAATAATGCTGTTTCGTGGGAAAACTTTATTATGAAAAACCTATTCTAGAAATTTCATACAAAGTGGCTGGAACTGATTAAAAGAAACCGTTGCACTCGGGGGAGAGGGGGGAGAACTACTTCCTATAGTACACTATACGGGGATGCTTCGCCCGAAAGGAGTTACCTTTTCTAGGCCAGAGGTACATAAAAGGGTAGGGTGTTTCACGAGTTGTAGAAAAGTGGCAGTAAAACTGCCATTTAATACGTATTTAAAGGGCTTTTTAATGTATCTGGAGCAAACGCAACTAACGGCTGATCCATTTCACGTACTTATTTTAAAAGTCACCGGAAAGGTGTTATGACGGCCTCAAAGAAGAGCAAACTTAATTTCATTCGCTTCTTAACGCTGTTACCGTTCAGTTTGCAAATACGGAAAAACAGTAATTAGTTAATTCTGAAATGAACTTGACCAGTGACCAAAGATTAACAAAACGTAATAAATTATATAAGATTGTGTGGGAGCTGAAATTCATTTTAAAAAAAGAAATCCTCAACTTTTCCTCTTTTCGTGTGCTTTCCAATTTGATCCGGAATTGGAGGGCCACAGGTTTGTCAGTCAACGAATGTTAAGTGCCACCCTCGTTAATTAAACAAAGTCGATTTATTTCGTTTTATTTATTTATTTTATTTATATTTTGACGCTTCTCTAAATTCCCAAAACACGTTTGAAGCGATTTTCTTCTCAGCGGTTGTTCCCCAAAGTCATCTACCGAACAGATCATTTTTTTTCTGTCCGCTCTATTTTTTTTTTTACTGTCACTATCAAAGTGCGAAGATTACTCACTTATTGAATTAATTTCAACTTCATATAAACTCTCATGTTAACCGGTTCGTTAATTGTGATGGTGCTTACCTGATTCAATTACGTGGTCTCTTACTGCGAGAAAGGAAGCGAAAAATTTACGTTAGTATTGAATGATGGCCAGAGCAATTAAAGCTGTCTAGAATCAATGAACAAAAGCCCGGCCTGATCAATCCATGAAACTGATAATGGATAACAATCGATAGCAATCTAGAACATAACAATTAATCGATTGACATCGGAAATCGATGGTCAATCGACGAACAAAAATTTTGTGATTTTCGATTGCCATCGATTGTCATCGATTGTCATCGATTGTCATCGATTGCCATCGCTTGTCATCGATTATCATCGACTAGCAATTTCATCGACTTCCATATTTTTTGGGCGGGTATATAAAATACGTATCGTATCTGGACTTGCCAAAGAAGTTACTAACGCAATAAGCGCTACGCCAGTTACTTCTACTCTAACTTGTGATTATTGATTGGTCATCGATTGGCCGATAGCAATCGATAACAATTAACTGATTGTCATCGATTGATATCGATTAATCGATCGGATTTCCAATCATCCATTGTCATCGATTGATCAGGCCGGGCACAAAAGATATAGTGTACCGCGCGATTCTGGTTAAATCTTTGGTTAAGCCTTCGTATTGACCTTAATTAACTTGGTTTCGCCATTACAATTTGGGATTGAACGCTAAAAAGTATTTTTATGAACCTACAATACAGCTGTAAATATGCTCGTCCAAAAGGGACAATATCTCAAGATGTATTAAACTATTTACGTCACGTTTTGTACATCTATGTCAAGATTAGATTACGTATATGAAAATGTGCATACATCTAAAACAAGATTTGAATATTCATATCCAGATTGGCGTACGCGTATCAAGATCCGCGTGCGAGTACATTAAGTCTAAATTATAAATGTTTATCAAGTTCCTCATACACAGATCGACCATCGAATATTATATCAAAGCTCGCATACCTACATCAAGATTTGGATTTACACATCAAGATCTTTAACACATGCATATCAGCATTTTTACATCGATATTGTGATAGGCTTGTATGAAATACTAAGTCAAATGTTTGCCTGGTTACTTGGCACTAAAGCGATCCGTGTATGAAGAACTTAATAAATATTATTTCTATTAGACTTGATGTACTCGCATACGGATCTTGATACGTGTGCGTAAATCTTGATATGTATATTCAAATCTTGTTTCAGATGTATGCAAATCTTGATTTATGTATATCTAATCTTGACATAGATATACAAAACCTGATGTAAATAAATACATTATGATATATTGTCCGTTTTGGACAAGCATACTCAAGTAAACAATAATGCTTTTTCGTGGGAAAACTTCAACACATCCACAACCTATTTTAAATTAAAATTTCATACCAAGTGGCTGCAACTGATTAAAAGAAACCCTTGCACTCGGGGCAGAGGGGGAAGGACTACCTCCTATAATGCATTATACGGGAATGTTTCGCTTGAAAGGGGTACCTTTTCTAGTCTCTCAGGTTAACCGGTCCGTTAACTGTGTTAATGCTTACCTTCTCCAGCTGCATAGTCTACGACTGCGAGAAAGCAAGTGAAAAGTTGACGTTAGTATTGAATAATGCCTAGTGCAATTAAAGCTCTCTAGAATCAATAAACGAAAAATATAGTTTAGCTCATGATTTTGGGTCGCGAGTTAACCCTGATCAGCTGTTGCACCCAAGGTATTCCGAAGTCTACTTTCTATAATACATTATACGGGGATGCTTCGCCCGAAAGGAGTACCTTTTCTAGGCCAGAGGTACATGAAAGGGTAGGGTGTTTCACGAGTTGAGGTATGGTAAAGGGGCAGTAAAACTGCCATTTAATACGTATTTAATGAGCTTTTCCATGTATCTAGAAGAGACGCAACTAACGGCTGTTCCATTTCACAGTGATTATTTTTAGAGGTTAGCTTGACGTTTGTTAAAAGTCACCAGAAAAGTGTTATGACGAGTGTCATTCGCTTCCTAACGCTGTTACCGTTCAGTTGCTTGCAAATACGGCAAAACAATAATTAGTTAATTTTAAAATGAACTTGACCAGTGCCCACAGGTTAATAAAACGTAATAAATTATATCAGAGTGTGTGGGAGCTGAAATTCAGTTTAAAAAACAGTCCTCAATTTTTCCTCTTTTCGTGCGCTTTCCAATTTGATCCGGAATTGGAGGGCCACAGGTTTGTCAGTCAACGACTGTTAAGTTTCACTCTTGTTAAACAAAGTCGATTTATTTTGCTTATTTATTTATTTTATTTATATTTTAACACTTCTCTGAATTCCCAAAACACGTTTGAAGCGATTTTCTTCTCAGCGGTTGTTCCCCAAAGTCATCTACCGAACAGACCATTTTTTTCTGTGCGCTCTGTTTTCTTAGACTGTATATTTTCACTATCAAAGGGCGAAGATTACTTATTGAATTAATTTCAACTGCATATAAACATTCATGTTACCCGATTCGTTAACTGTGATGGTGCTTACCTTTTTTTACTACCTTGTTTTTTTCTGCGAGAAAGCAAGCAAAAAGTTGATGTTAGTATTATATAATGCCTAGAGCAATGAAAGCTGTTTAGAATCAAAAAACGAAAAATGTAGTGTAGCTCGTGATTCTGGTTAAATCTTTGGATAATTCAACTTACTGATTTTAATTCAGTACTTGGTATCGCCATTTGCATTTGGGACTTAATACTAAAACTAATATTAGAGTCCACAAGAGAGTTGCAAATGTATTACTCCTGCTAAACGACAACTAAACACAGTTTTAACTCTATCGGTCACTGAGGGCAGCAGTGGATCAACAAACGATCAGAACTTTAAGGGAACGAGTGGTGTTATAACATTAATACTTCAAATTGCTCCAAACCTCTCACAAAATCCAGATAAATGTGTAAAATCTTATAGATCTCAACTATTTTCCAGAATATTGACTTAAATTTCGCGCTTTTACCCTTGCAGTTTCCCGGTGGCCGCCATCTTGGAATACTAAATGATCTATGGGATTGATGATGCTTTACGCTCCCCGTTGGGATTTTTGTAACAATTTGTCGTGTTTCCTATGGCGAAAACACGCTTAAGTGTGCCACGTACGATGTGTCTATGTAAGCTTAATAGGACTGACACTGTTAAGGTTATTTTAAAGTTAGGTTAACTGTTTTCAGTTTTCAGGTAAAGGTTTTATTGCGTTAACGTTCGTAGAACGCCTTCATAAATTTGTTAGGCAAGCGAAATCGACATTTTGGTGGACTTCCAAATAGTCTCGCCTCTTGAAATTCCGTAGCGGTCCTGTGTAAGAGTGCTACGGTACACTGGTCCATGTGACTTCATCTGTCGAACAAGGTATCTCTACGTTTCTATGTTCGTTCTTTTGACGCTTTCTTTTGTTGAGTCGTGGAGTGTGGGCTTGGATTCCTTTTCCCGTTCTAACGTTGATTATTGCTTTTGAAAAGGAGTAGTGTAATGTTCAAAAATCTTTCAGGCTGTATCAATCAAAGTTGAGAGAAGTGTGCACGACCACACAGATCGATGTCACACTATCGCGATTTGAGTTAACCCTGATCAGCTGTTGCACCCAGTGGCCATCGAGCCTTACAGCCGTGATATGCGGCCACGAGTAATTCAACCCATCGAGTTTTTTTGCTTGGCGACGGCTTCAAGAAGTGATGTCTTTTTCTTTATACACTGCCGAGCCATTCAGCTCGGCGACAATATTGGAGCCATGTGGTCAGCCCTTATAATCACAAAACTGAAATAAACCTAGTTCTGTAGGTTGGTTTTTGGTCGGTCAGTCACCGATTTATGGCAAGATTACACCAGCTTGGTCAAGCGAAATAAGTTCAACCAATTATATCACTAGCAAATTCAGTTCTGTGGGTATTGCACATACTCTTATTCAAGCTTTGATGAATGACACGTTTTAAGCTTTGACATTTGATACCTTGCATCATGCACAAAGTGATGTTATCAGTAACGGTTTTAAACTTGGAAAACAAACTCTTATTGTTAAAGTTTTGATATTTGACAGCTTGACTCGTGCACTAACTAGTGTTTTTAGAATTCTACTAATATACTAATGCAAATGCGGTAATCTGATTTGCTAAACCATTAAACACTATCAGCCATTAGTGTGTAGTGGCTGAAGGTCGTCTGGAAAATGACGACGTTTTTGCGTTTTTCCAAAGTGTTGGAGGAACATTTTGATGCATATGGATAATTAAATTCCTGAGGAGTCTAAACGAAGGACGTTTACGGTTTCTTGACTTTTAAAAAGGTTGAAATTATTGAAAAAACTGATGCACGCGCAGACAGCTTCAATTTTAAATGACAATTTAATCCGAGCGATCACTTTCAGGCGCAAAGTTTAATAACACGTCAAGAAATAATTGGAAACCGTTATTTGCAGTAAATTTTAGTAAGAATTCTACTAAAACAATTAGATTAATCGCTCTCGATTTCCATTTCTTCGGCCTCATCAGCTATCACCTCATAGAAATCTCGAGCTCATAATCTAATTGTTAATCATTACTAGTTACTATTATTACTTATTTTTATATAGCTGTGTCTCACAAGGACTGGGAACTACCGAATTCACGAATTTGATTGGCTGAAATCGATATTGACCGCGGTCTAGACTTTCCCATCTAGAC